GCAAAATCCATCATTAAAGGAAATCATAGGAAAGTTAGCAATTACACAAGAAAAATTGGTTACGTCCCAGGAAAAACTAGTTGAATCCCAGGAACAGTTCCAAAGTCGAACCGAGACACATATTCATGAGTTGGATAACCAAGTGAGCCGACTAGTTCAAACAGTGGGAAAACTGGAATCACAAGGAAGACTACCTTCTCAAACTGAGGTAAATCCAAGGGAGAATGTCATTGTCATCACTCTTCGGAGTGGTATAATAGTGGCGCCACCTGTTCCAAAAGATGAAGCAATCCAAAAAGGGAAGAAGACTATAGATTCAGGATCCAGAAGAAGAGTGACGAAGTACAAATGGATCCAAAGCCATCTCCCTATGACGTGCCACTACCTTTTCCATCGAGGTTAGTAAAAAGGGATAAACAAACTGAGGAAAAAGAAATACTAGATGTATTTCGGAAGGTGGAAATAAACATACCTCTCATTGAGGTTATCCGAAAGTTTCCAAGATATGCCTGATTTTTGAAGGACCTTTGTACAATAAAGAGGAAGCTTACCGGGAATGAGAAGGTAAATCTAGGAGAACATGTCTCAGTTGTATTCCAACAAAAGTTACCACCGAAACTGAAAGACCAAGGTATATTCGCAATACCCTGTAAAATGGATAAAGTTGGGATAAAATGATCCATGTGTGATCTTGGCGCCTCTATTAATGTAATGACTCTCTTTGTTTACAATATGATTACTAATGAGCCCTTGAAAGATACAAAAATATCAATTCAGTTTGCCGACAGATCAGTCATTTACCCGGAAGGACTCTTAGAAAATGTGTTGGTAGAGGTAAACGATTTAATATTTCTCGCTGATTTTTATGTAATTGACAAGGAGAATGATCGTACAAACACTTCTTCCAAAATTCTATTGGGATGCCCTTTTCTAAGTATTGCACAAAAAAAGATTGACGTAAGAAGTGGAACTTTAACCATAGAGTTTGATGGTGAGATCGTTAAATTTGATGTGTACAAGAAAATGAAACACCCAGACAAAGTGGTGAGCATAAATTATGTTGGTATTATTGATCCTTTGGAAAATGAGTTTGTAGAAACTATTTTTTCGTTTAATCTATGCAGGGAGTTAGAAGATCATGATGAGGAAATCAAGAAGTTGAAAAAAATAATTTCAGATTGTGCCGATCTAAAATTGATTTATGCTAAGTCTAATGTTATACTTTCTGTTTTGCAGGAACTTGAGATAGAACTGAAACAAATGCCAAAAAACTTAAAGAGTACCTTTTTAGGAGAAAATGCTACTTCACCGGTTATTTCGGATAAGCTGTCAAAGCTAAAAAAGATCCGAAGAATAACCTATGAGAATGAAAAATTCTACAAGGAGAAAATAAAAGAATTATACAATCATAGAATTTCTCATAAGGAAATTCTTAGTTGGAAAAATCATATGAAGTGGAAGAAGTATTTCTCTTAGAACCTGTAGTCTGAATCAGGTCGTCGAGCTAACGACGTTAAACAAAAGCGCTTGATGGGAGGCAACCCATTTCGTTTTGTTTTTGTTTTATTTTCATTTTAATTTCGCTTTATTTTTAGCCAAATTTATTCTATTTTATTTTATCAGATGCTTAATTTTATTTTATTTTTCTCTAAACAGATTCGAATTCCGATCGAATATTTTTTACCTTCGCCAGGGCTCGTCTCGACATGACCGTGGCCGCGGTCACCACTAGATCGGGGAGTATTCTTTTTCCCTCTCTTTGTTTTTAAATTTGACATACATTTTGGGACAAAACAGATTAAGTGAGGGGGGAAAGATAAACATGTCGTCAAATTTTTCTTTGACTTGTTTGATTGTTTGAAATTGAGTTATTATGATATTAATGTGTTGAGATCGTTGGTTACTAGTCTTGAACTTCACTTTATACTCTTGCTTCCTTTTGGATTGTGATCATGTTTTGATCGAATTTAATTTGCATGATTGGTGATTGGTATAGCTGGTGAATATTTTGTTAAGTATTGATATTTCATGCTTTTGTCGATTGAGATGAACTTGACTCAGTGCATATAAACTTTTCTTGTGAGATTTAAGCCTAACGAGCATACATTTTCTTTCTTGCTCATTGTTTGACTTGTGTGTACCGAACTAATTAGGATGTTCTAGAACTTGTAATCATAATGCTTATCGAGACTACATGTTGAACGTAATGTTTTAATGTGATAGGGGCACCTAGGATAAACCCACTTTTCCCAAAAAGCCTTGTAACATCCTCAATACCGGGTTAGTGATCAAGTTGTAAAGTTTCAGAATTTGGGGACTAAAGTATAAGAATGAAATAGTTCAATGCTTATTGGATATATATGATGAAGGTTAATTAGTAATTATTAAAGGAAATTAAGGGTTAAATGGTCATTTGACCAGAAAGATTTTTATATTCCTTTTTAAGGGTAATATAAACGTGGGATGTGTGAGAACCATCCAGAGTGTTCTTCTCCTTTCTTCTTCTTCATACGTGGGGGAGCAAGGCAAAGGTAAGTTTAATTTCAGTTGGTTAATTCTTGAGTTTTAAGCTTAGTTTTGATTCTTTGGGTATTAAATAAGCTTAAGGAAAGCTTATATGGGATTTAAACAATAAGATAAAGGAATTATGAAGGAATTTGCCATATGAGTTTTAAGATGAAATTTTGATATAGTATGGTTGTTGAAGTTTTATGGATGAATTTGACTTGTCATCAATCTAATTAAGAAGTATGAAGTGTTAGAATGGGAATTAGAACACATTGAAAATTTGGTATGATTTTTGAATCTTATATGGATGATAGGATTTTGAGGTTTAAGATGAAATAAATGAATATAGATTGGTTTAAGTATGTGTACTAGAGTTAAGAATGAAAAGGGAATGATATATGAAGTGTTTGAGTGGAAATGAAGTAATTTTCGGGTTGAAAATATGATTTATGGGCAAGGGGAATCGGTACCCATTCAAGGGGAACCGATACCCCTTCAAACGACAGAATTCCAGAATGTCTTGAGGGAATCGATACCCCCATGGTAGGGAACCGATTCCCCCTAAAGAAAAATGTTAATATTGGTTTAATAAGTTCGTTTAAGTTGCTAGTATCCAATTACAAGGTGTAGGTATCTAATGATTGCCTCAAAATGTACATGTAGGTAGATTCTACGCATAAAGCAACTCCGGAACGTTTGGCAAGTAAGATCGATCAAGGAAAAATAACAGATCGATATTGACTAGTGAGGCCAAGTGAGTGCATATTCAATAGTATATGATGTGCGATGGGAATAAGACTTGTGATGAGTCTATTTCCTGAAGTGTTACACATGAATGCATGATTAAAGGCATGAGTTGAATATGCATGTATGTATGCTTGATTATATGGATTGATCTGTTCTTTTATGTGTTAGATGATAAAGTATAAGTAATTACATAAGAAAAGTTATGAATTATATGAGATATAAACTATGTGATCATAGTAAAATATAATTATTATTATATGATAAGTGAAATAAGCTAGATGGGAAAGATTCATATGTTTAAATAAAACTATAACACATGGGTTGTATGATAGAAATTTATGAAGTTATATGAGAAGATTATAGGAATTATATGAAATTGAATTAAGTAAACAGATTAGATTATATACCTAAAGAAATAATAGAAGTGAGATATGTTTATAAGTCTGCCCTAGATGAATATGAATATGAATTATAAGAGTGCTATATGATTTATATTAGGATAAATCTTGAGGATATATATATATATAGATAAATATGAAATGAAATGAAATGAGTTATATGAATACATAATTATGTGATGAAATGGTGGATTACCTGAACATGTGAATATATATGTCTAAGAGAAGGCATAAGATTAAGATATAAGCAATGTGACTATAAGTATATGTGCTCTAAGTGATATGACTTATAGGTATTTCTATTATAATGTTACATAATATGTTATGTATGTTAAATGAATTATGATATGTATAAGAATGATATGATAAGATATATATATATGTGAAAGTGTTCTAGGTGTTTTTATATATATATGAAGTATATGATCTTATATGAACAAGATATGATAAGTATGGTTATATGAATAAAGGTGATTGGGTGAGAAATGATAGAAATTATATGAAAACATGATATATGTGACATGTATATATGGAAATGTGTAAGTGACTATGTGATAATATGAAAAGAAGCTATGTGATACGTGATATGTGAAAGTGAATTACAAGTTTATGTGAATATTTGAAATGAAATAAATGATAACGCCCATGTTATGTGTCATGAGAGCTAGGGGTATAGTTGGCATGCCAAGAGTCGAGGGTTTACCTATGTTCTACGGAACATATGGACAGTTTTACCTATGTCTTTCGAGACATATGGACAATATACCTATGTTCTAAGGAACATATGGACAGTTTACCGAGGATCTTTATGACCTCTGGACAGTTACCGAGGATCTTTATGACCTCTGGATAGTTACCGGGGTCTGTGTGACCTCTGGATAGGTCCTTCGGGACATTTATATGAGCTGTGGTGACAGCATAGTGGTGCACAACCTCAATAGACTCACATATCTACAGTTCTCACAGGTGCACATGGGCTAATAAGAGATAACATGGAATGTAATGTATAAGATATATGTGATGTATATACTTATGGTGATATGTCATGTGTTGCTTGAATTATAATGATGTTGATAAAGATAATAATATACATGGGCAATGCAATTGGAAGACAAACGAAAAGTGAAAGTAATACAAGAAGATATGTTGCGTGTGTGTATGACATGATTATATATTGTTATCATGCAATAGATACATGCATATTGAAATGTCATGATTCAATGGTATGAATGCACGTTCATGAATTTATTGTTATATGTTTAATTATTGCCTCACTAAGTCAACGACTTAGCGTGTGATTGTTTCACACGTAGGTTTCGAGAAGAATAAAGAGTAATGCGGAGCAAGACAGGTCAGTTCTCCTTACCAAATGTCAGATCAGAAAATGTATGTACTGTTTACAGAGTGTAGTTGGCATGTAGTCTAAAGATATAAATGGTATGAACTCTGATATCTGTTGTAAACGTTTTGAAATAATTTAAATGTTATCAAAGTTTTTAAATTACTCACTATTTTATACGAATAAATGTTTGAAAAGTCAATGTGACACTTCGGACTCGTATCCGGGTCGGATACGGGTTGGGGGTGTTACAATTAATGGTATCAGAGCTATGGTTTAGCCGATTCTCAGCATAAACCGAAGTCCAAAGTGTCATAAAGGGTGTACATGCCAACATAGATTGAAAAATTTCTGATCTGATAGTGTAAGGAATATGTTGTCTTGCTAATAGAATAAGAATAATTTAATACAGTAGAAATCCGATCATGATAATTTCGAAGTAAGTGAAAGGTGATATTCCTGATTGTGATAGCTATTCACTTGCCCTGGCCAGGCAGGATGAAGAGCGGACACCTCAGGAAATGCCTAGTAAGATCAAAAGTTGATTTCAGAAAGCTGAAATCGTATCTGAATAATGATAGAAAGTTTTCATCGTTTGGAATCGGAAAAACGATATAGAGTTATTATGTGGATAAGATAGAATATGATATTATAAGATGAAAAGTACTGGGATTATAAGATTATAAGATATTGTCAGGATATGATAACCAGATCTGCAATGGATCTGGATATAGTTGCATATTTGGATTATAGTAATGTGGTATAGTAAAGGAAAAGGAAGTAAGAATTTGTATATTTAAGTAAAGCTGAGGATTGATAAGAAGAGTTTGAGAATGTGTATATCAATGATCAGATTATAGGACACAGGAAGTCAGAATGTTGAGTTTGAGCAAAAGAAATTTCAGGATGTATGAGAATTGAGGTGAAATTGATAAATTGAGTAAGCAAATGTTGAGATAATTTAGATTGGAAAGAATGTATATGATTGGTATAAGAGGGCTTGTGCCCTAGACTGAACAAAAGTTATTATCTAGCTGTCAGAGTAAAGGTGCTAGAGTTATAAGATTGGAGGAAAGATATAGTGGAGTTAATTGATTATGATGTGAATTTGAATATAGTTATATATTCTGAGCAGATAGCTATGATGTAGAAACAGAGATAAGTATTTGCATAGAACCTTCAGGAAGGAAAATACAAGTATAAGAAATGATAAAGAATGAAGTTATGTATAAGAAATGGGTTATCAGAGTAATGAGGATGCAATGAAGATTGGTACATAAAGATGAGTATAAGTGATAAGACAAGAGTATGTGAATATGAAAGGAAATATATGATTTATGTATAAGGAATAAGGAGTAAAGAAATGAAAGGGATTGATTTAAAAGAATCAGATACGATAAATATGGAAGTACAGAGGACAGTTTTGATATAGAGTGATGAGATGAATGTTACTGTCAACGTGATGAGTGACATTATATGGAATTTTAGAAAGTTCAAAGGAAAAATGCATAATTGAATGAGAGAAAAGACAACAATGGATTGGTATTACTGGTTATTGTTTATATGATAAACAACAGAAGATGAAGGTATAAACGAAAAAGATAGTCGGAAAACTAAAGGATTAAAAAGTAAGTTTCTGATGATGACAAGAAAGAATAAGTCAGGGAAGCAACATAAGAACATTAGAAGATATGTTCCTAGTAAGATGTGCAGTGAAAATTCGAGGACGAATTTTCTTATAAGGAGGGGAGATTTGTAACATCCTCAATACCGGGTTAGTGATCAAGTTGTAAAGTTTCAGAATTTGGGGACTAAAGTATAAGAATGAAATAGTTCAATGCTTATTGGATATATATGATTAAGGTTAATTAGTAATTATTAAAGGAAATTAAGGGTTAAATGGTCATTTGACCAGAAAGATTTTTATATTCCTTTTTAAGGGTAATATAAACGTGGGATGTGTGAGAACCATCCAGAGTGCTCTTCTCCTTTCTTCTTCTTCATACGTGGGGGAGCAAGGCAAAGGTAAGTTTAATTTCAGTTGGTTAATTCTTGAGTTTTAAGCTTAGTTTTGATTCTTTGGGTATTAAATAAGCTTAAGGAAAGCTTATATGGGATTTAAACAATAAGATAAAGGAATTATGAAGGAATTTGCCATATGAGTTTTAAGATGAAATTTTGATATGGTATGGTTGTTGAAGTTTTATGGATGAATTTGACTTGTCATCAATCTAATTAAGAAGTATGAAGTGTTAGAATGGGAATTAGAACACATTGAAAATTTGGTATGATTTTTGAATCTTATATGGATGATAGGATTTTGAGGTTTAAGATGAAATAAATGAATATAGATTGGTTTAAGTATGTGTACTAGAGTTAAGAATGAAAAGGGAATGATATATGAAGTGTTTGAGTGGAAATGAAGTAATTTTCGGGTTGAAAATATGATTTCTGGGCAAGGGGAATCGGTACCCATTCAAGGGGAACCGATACCCCTTCAAACGACAGAATTCCAGAATGTCTTGAGGGAATCGATACCCCCATGGTAGGGAACCGATTCCCCCTAAAGAAAAATGTTAATATTGGTTTAATAAGTTCGTTTAAGTTGCTAGTATCCAATTACAAGGTGTAGGTATCTAATGATTGCCTCAAAATGTACATGTATGTAGATTCTACGCATAAAGCAACTCCGGAACGTTTGGCAAGTAAGATCGATCAAGGAAAAATAACAGATCGATATTGACTAGTGAGGCCAGGTGAGTGCATATTCAATAGTATATGATGTGCGATGGGAATAAGACTTGTGATGAGTCTATTTCCTGAAGTGTTACACATGAATGCATGATTAAAGGCATGAGTTGAATATGCATGTATGTATGCTTGATTATATGGATTGATCTGTTCTTTTATGTGTTAGATGATAAAGTATAAGTAATTACATAAGAAACGTTATGAATTATATGAGATATAAACTATGTGATCATAGTAAAATATAATTATTATTATATGATAAGTGAAATAAGCTAGATGGGAAAGATTTATATGTTTAAATAAAACTATAACACATGGGTTGTATGATAGAAATTTATGAAGTTATATGAGAAGATTATAGGAATTATATGAAATTGAATTAAGTAAACAGATTAGATTATATACCTAAAGAAATAATAGAAGTGAGATATGTTTATAAGTCTGCCCTAGATGAATATGAATATGAATTATAAGAGTGCTATATGATTTATATTAGGATAAATCTTGAGGATATATATATATATAGATAAATATGAAATGAAATGAAATGAGTTATATGAATACATAATTATGTGATGAAATAGTGGATTACCTGAACATGTGAATATATATGTCTAAGAGAAGGCATAAGATTAAGATATAAGCAATGTGACTATAAGTATATATGTGCTCTAAGTGATATGACTTATAGGTATTTCTATTATAATGTTACATAATATGTTATGTATGTTAAATGAATTATGTGATGGTATAAGAAATGATATGAAATATATATATATATGTGAAAACAAGTATATGTTATGAGATAAGACCTATGACTATAAGCTACGTGAAAGTGTTCTAGGTGTTTTTATATATTATATGAAGTATATGATCTTATATGAACAAGATATGATAAGTATGGTTATATGAATAAAGGTGATTGGGTGAGAAATGATAGAAATTATATGAAAACATGATATATGTGACATGTGAATTATATGGAAATGATCTACGTGTAAGTGAACTACGTGACTATGTGATAATATGAAAAGAAGCTATGTGATATGTGATATGTGAAAGTGAATTACAAGTTTATGTGAATATTTGAAATGAAATAAATGATAACGCCCATGTTATGTATCATGAGAGCTAGGGGTATAGTTGGCATGCCAAGAGTCGAGGGTTTACCTATGTTCTACGGAACATATGGACAGTTTTACCTATGTCTTTCGAGACATATGGACAATATACCTATGTTCTAAGGAACATATGGACAGTTTACCGAGGATCTTTATGACCTCTGGACAGTTACCGAGGATCTTTATGACCTCTGGATAGTTACCGGGGTCTGTGTGACCTCTGGATAGGTCCTTCGGGACATTTATATGAGCTGTGGTGACAGCATAGTGGTGCACAACCTCAATAGAGTCACATATCTACAGTTCTCACAGGTGCACATGGGCTAATAAGAGATAACATGGAATGTAATGTATAAGATATATGTGATGTATATACTTATGGTGATATGTCATGTGTTGCTTGAATTATAATGATGTTGATAAAGATAATAATATACATGGGCAATGCAATTGGAAGACAAACGAAAAGTGAAAGTAATACAAGAAGATATGTTGCGTGTGTGTATGACATGATTATATATATTGTTATCATGCAATAGATACATGCATATTGAAATGTCATGATTCAATGGTATGAATGCACGTTCATGAATTTATTGTTATATGTTTAATTATTGCCTCACTAAGTCAACGACTTAGCGTGTGATTGTTTCACACGTAGGTTTCGATAAGAATAAAGAGTAATGCGGAGCAAGACAGGTCAGTTCTCCTTACCAAATGTCAGATCAGAAAATGTATGTACTGTTTACAGAGTGTAGTTGGCATGTAGTCTAAAGATATAAATGGTATGAACTCTGATATCTGTTGTAAACGTTTTGAAATAATTTAAATGTTATCAAAGTTTTTAAATTACTCACTATTTTATACGAATAAATGTTTGAAAAGTCAATGTGACACTTCGGACTCGTATCCGGGTCGGATACGGGTTGGGGGTGTTACAATTAATGGTATCAGAGCTATGGTTTAGCCGATTCTCGGCATAAACCGAAGTCCAAAGTGTCATAAAGGGTGTACATGCCAACATAGATTGAAAAATTTCTGATCTGATAGTGTAAGGAATATGTTGTCTTGCTAATATAATAAGAATAATTTAATATAGTAGAAATCCGATCATGATAATTTCGAAGTAAGTGAAAGGTGATATTCC